GCCACTACACTCCAGTCTGGGCGACAGAGTGAGACTCCAACTCAAAAAAAAAAATAAAAAATTACCTCGGTGTGGTAGCGCATGCCTGTAATAACAGCTACTTGGAAGGCTGAGGTGGAAGGGTCCCCTGAGCCCAGCAGGTCGACGCCAGAGTGGCTGTGAGCGTGCCACTGCACTTCAGCCTGGGCGACAGAGTGAGACTGCAACTCAAACATAAATAAATAAATAATGATTATATCTAATGTTTCCTATAGAGAGAGTAAAAAAGCACAAGAAAATATATTTAAAGTATGTTGTAAGTTGTAAAGAATTATTTACATCTAGTATGTCTGTTTATTTAAGCCTCTAAACAGAAATACCCTGAGACAGGATAGGTGTTATCTCCATGTTGAGGAAACTGTCACTATCAGAGAGATTATGGAAATGGTCCAGGCTACACTGGGCAGAAATCTAGGTCTTCTCACTACTGTTTCACACTATGTATTTCTTTTCTTTTCTTTTCTTTTTCCGAATCAGACTCTCACTCCGTCACCCAGGCTGGAGTGCAGTGGCAAGCTCATAGCCACCCCAGCGTCATCCTGCTGGGCTCCAGCAGTCCTTCCACCTCAGCCTTCCAAGTAGCTGGAACTACAGGCGCGCATTACCACACCCAGCTAATTTTTTGATTTATTGTAGAGATGAGGTTTCACCATGTTGCCCAGGCTGGTCTCAAACCTGCGGGCTCAGGCAATCCTCTCACTTCAGCTCCCCAAAGTGCTGAGATTACAAGCGTGAGCCCCCGCGCCCAGCCCACACTATGCATTTTAATCCAAAATTAACTGAGCCCCAAGTGCTGTGCTGTGGTAGCAGGGATTAGGGAAGCGGTATTTAGAAATGGCCCACCCAGCTTGGTGTGATCCCGGGGAATCTGTCCACAGCCCACCCTCTCTCCTCACTCTTCCCACTTCTTGGTCCATCTCAAGCCCTCCCTCTAGTTTCAGCCACCAACTGGACCACAGATCAGCTAGCTTGTGACTCTTCAAGCTGTGTTTCCAGAGTTAAAGGCCCAAGTATCTCTTGTACACTTTCCACCTGGGTGTCTCCCAGGATTGCCAGCCCAAGTTCAAAGCTGAACTCCCCTCCTCCCCAACACCTGCTCGGCATCCTGCATCCCTGTCTCAGGTGGTGGTACTCCTACCCAACCACCTAGGTGTCACCCTTGGTGTCTCTCTCCCCCACCCACACAACCAGTCAATTGCCAAGTTCTGTTTTCCTTGTAAACATCTCTCAAATCCAGCCCTTCCCCTCCTCCCCACACCTTGTGTCCCGGCTAGGCCACAATCTCTGAGTAACAACCTCCTTCCAGCCTCCCTGTCTCCAGTCTTATCTCCCACAAATCCGTCTTCCTTGCAGTCAGTCTGTACAGGTCCCTCCCTGCCTCAGCTGCTTAAGTGGTTCCTCTGTCTGCAGGGGTGAAGTCCAAGTTTCTTAATGAGGCTACCTTTGATATGATTCTCCCACATTTACAGCCTCCTCTCACCACGCCCTGCCTCAAACCATTTACTGCACGGAGGCTAGTCTGCCTGCAGGGCCAGCTTTGTTTTGAAATTCTTCATAATTATTTTTTTTTTTTGAGTCAGAGTCTTACTCTATCACCCAGGCTGGAGTGTAGTAGCACTCTCATGGCTCACCGCAGCCTTGACCTCCTGGGCTCAGGCTATCCTTCCACTTCAGCTTCCATAGCTGGGACTATGGGCCTATGCCACCACGTCTGACTAATTTTGTATTTTTTGTAGAGGAAATACTTCCTATTTTTTTTTTTTT